ATAGCGACACCAGAGGCACTCCAAGTGGCCAGCTACTGTCAAAGGACATTTAGTATAATGCCAAATTTTTATACTTTGTGTTTTTTAAATACATTACAACTTTATTCTCAGTTCACCTCTGATACGATAAATAAATAAACATATATGACAAACTTGGCACTTAAGTACCCATGGGTTATTTTTTAATGCACAAGTCCTTCTTGCTGCAGGAATAAGCCTAACCACCAAGAAAAGTGACACTTGGCAAACAAAACTGAATACCCAGTTCCTTTACCTCATCAGTATTTTAAGCTGGATCATGATGGGTATGTGTACCATATTTGGTCCAGATCCATTGTTGGAGGGATTCATACAGCTCTCTCGATGTGGGTGGACTATGACTCCCATCATCCTCTATCACACACCCCAACCCCTCAATTGTTTTATGTTGGATCGTAATAGGAATCTGTGCCAAGTTTGTCCATATGCATCAAATCGTGTAGGAGCCTTTGGGTAGCAAACATACTCATAAATAAATAAATAAATAATATACAGGGGGGAGCTTTTGTAAATTGGTTTATGGTCTTAAAATGTGTGAGCTGAATAAAAGTTGTTAGTACTTAAAAGTACTAGTACTTTTCAGTAAAAGTACTAGGGACCGTGGTAGCACAGTGGGTTAAGCCACTAGCTGCAGACTGGAAGGTTAGCAGTTCGAAGCTGCGAGTTGAGGAGAGCTCCCGCTGTTAGCCCTAGCTTCTGCCAATCTAGCAGTTTGAAAGTATGCAATGTGAGTAGATCAATAGGTACCACCTTAGCGGGAAGGTAAAAGGTGCCCATGCAGCCATGCCGGCAAAACATGACCAGGAGGGTCTATGGACAACGGACTCCTCGGCATGACAAATGGAACAAGAGTACCTCTCGATGGCCAGAGTTGAGCATTGCCTCCAGATGCAGGAGATGGAAAAGGAAACCTTTGCCTTTGTTTGTATTGTTTGTCATTGTTGTTACTGTATAGAAGGCATTGAATGTTTGCCATATATGTGTATACTGTAATTCGCTCTGAGATAGAGCAGAATATAAATAAAGTGTATTATTATTATTATTATTATTATTATTATTATTATGTGCTAAAAGGTATTGCCTTATTCAATGCCTACAATTAAGTAATGTACTATTGCTTTCGTCTTCCTCTAAGCTTATATACAATATGCGGCCACATTGGACCCTACAGAGGAGCACTTTAAAAGGAAAGACTCCGCCTTTTGGTTGAGAAGAATCAAAGTGGGAACATTCTGGGCGATTTGAACGATGAGGTCAATGCATGGCCCTCAACTTATTTCTAAAGTTCTTTTTTGAAGGAAGAGATGTGTGCTGTTTTTTTCTCTTTAACTGAGAATTAAAAGTCCCAAGGAAAGCCGCAGGGGGTGGATTCCCGCACAAGACACAGCGGCAAGCTTGAGGGAGTTTGGAAAGGGCATTCAGGCATCACATTCCCTTGTGTAATGCTGTTAAAGTGGAGTCATTCTGCAGAAGAGATGCACCACTGAAAGCTTGGATGTTTTATCACTTTGGTTTTTGAAGAAGGAATCCTAATAAGCAGGCATCAGCTGCGATGCCCAAATTGCACCAAGTGCACCTTTTGCTGCTGCGAACGCATTACATTCATCAGCAAATACCTTTTTTGGTTTCAGGGTTTTGAAAATAGAATCATAGAATCAGAGTTGGAAGAGACCTCATGGGCCATCCAGTCCAACCCCCTGCCAAGAAGCAGGAATACTGCATTCAAATCACCCCTGACAGATGGCCATCCAGCCTCTCTTTAAAAGCTTCCAAAGAAGGAGACTCCACCACACTCCGGGGCAGAGAGTTCCACTGCTGAACGCCTCTCACAGTCAGGAAGTTCTTCCTCATGTTCAGATGGAATCTCCTCTCTTGTAGTTTGAAGCCATTGTTCCGTGTCCTAGTCTCCAGGGAAGCAGAAAACAAGCTTGCTCCCTCCTCCCTGTGGCTTCCTCTCACATATTTATACATGGCTATCATATCCCCTCTCAGCCTTCTCTTCTTCAGGCTAAACATGCCCAGCTCCTTAAGCCGCTCCTCATAAGGCTTGTTCTCCAGACCTTTTATCATTTTAGTCGCTCTCCTCTGGACACATTCCAGCTTGTCAATATCTCTCTTGAATTGTGGTGCCCAGAATTGGACACAATATTCCAGATGTGGTCTAACCAAAGCAGAATAGAGGGGTAGCATGACTTCCCTAGATCTAGACACTATGCTCCTATTGATGCAGGCCAAAATCCCATTGGCTTTTTTTGCCGCCACATCACATTGTTGGCTCATGTTTAACTTGTTGTCCACGAGGACTCCAAGATCTTTTTCACACGTACTGCTCTCGAGCCAGGCATCCCCCATTCTGTATCTTTGCATTTCGTTTTTCCTGCCAAAGTGGAGTGTCTTGCATTTGTCACTGTTGAACTTCATTTTGTTAGTTTTGGCCCATCTCTCTAATCTGTCAAGATCGTTTTGAATCCTGCTCCTGTCCTCTGGAGTATTGGCTATCCCTCCCAATTTGGTGCCGTCTGCAAACTTGATGATCCTGCCTTCTAACCCTTCATCTAAGTCATTAATGAAGATGTTGAACAGGACCGGAACCCTGCGGCACTCCGCTCGTCACTTCTTTCCAGGATGAAGAGGAAGCATTGGTGAGCTTCCAGTTTCTCATGCGGGCACATGAGAGAACCCTCTCACAGATGGTAAAACATCCGGGCGTCTCCTGGGCAACATCCTTGAGGAAGCATTGGTGAATAGAGGTGCGTATTAGATTTGATGGCGCATGAGACCAGTTATAATCCAGCTCAAAGCCGTTGATCTACATTCTGAAAGTGGATTATATGGAAGTGTAGACTCGGCCCCATATCATCCAGATGACTGAAGCAAATGGTCCACATGATCTGTTTGAACTGGATTAGATGAGTCTGCACTGCCATATCACTTTAACTTTGAATATGCATTGAATATATTTGAATGTCTTTTAACTGTGAATTTAAAAAAAATTGTTTATATTTAATTCTGTTTTGATGTTTGTATATTTTAAATTCTGTGCTAATGCTTTGCTGTTATGCTGCTTTGAGTCTCTTAGATAAGGAGTCAAGCGGAGAACAAAGTGATACAGAAGGCTCCCAAACACCTGGCGCTATGGAAATCAACAAAGGTCTTCATTGACAGATCAGAATAACAAAAATAGGCATCACAGGTCAGAGCAATTACATTGGAAAGTTGGGGAGATAATTCATGGGAAACAAAATGCTTTCATGGGTGACTATTAATTAGTAAGTTGTTTACCTAAGAGTGAGTTCCGGTAATATAGTGTTCAAGTGAGGAGCTAGGCCTGAGTTCTCTGGTTCTTGTATTAAGTCAAGTCTTTGGTTTTGGATTAAAGTATTCTGGAAGTTTCTCTGTTCCTGTTTTTGTATTCATGATCAAGTGGTCATAGGGGTTTCCTGGCCTGGAGTGCAACATGTTAGTGTTATATATTATTGCATTATTAGCATTATATTGTATTGCATTATAATATTACTATCAATATCGATATCTATATATCTATATCTATATATAATTAAAGTAGGCAAAAGTTTCCCCTGACATAAAGTCTAGTCGTGTCTGACTCACAGGGTTGGTGCTCATCTCCATTTCTAAGCTGAAGAGCTGGCATTGTCCGTAGACACCTCCTAGGTCATGTGGCCAGTATGACTGCATGAAGTACTGTTACCTTCCCACAGGAGCCCCCAGTGGCGCAATGGGTTAAACCTTTGTGCCAGCAGGACTGCCGACCAAAAGGTCAGCAGTTCGAATCCTGGGAGCAGGGTGAGCTCCTGTCTGCCAACTCCAGCTTCTCATGCGGGCACATGAGAGAACCCTCTCACAGATGGTAAAACATCTGGGCGTCTCCTGGGCAACATCCTTGCAGATGGTCAATTCCCTCACACCAGAAGTGACTTGCAGTTTTTCAAGTAGCTCCTGACATGAAAAAGAACCTTCCTGCAGAAGCAGTACCTATTAATCTATTCAAATTTGTATGTTTTTGAACTGCTAGTTTGGCAGAAGCTGGGGCTAACAGTGGGAGCTTACCCCGCTTCCAGGATTCAAACTGCCAACCTTTTGGTCAGCAAGTTCAGCAGCTCAGCGATTTAACCCACTGTGCCAAGGGGTCCAGTATTATAGAATCATAGAGTTGGAAGAGACCTCATGGGCCATCCGGTCCAACCCCTTGCCAAGAAGCAGGAACATTGCATTTGTAAGACCCCTGAAAGATGGCCATCCATTGTATTGTATTGCATTATAATACTATATGTGTATATCATATATATTATATTGTTAGCATAGCACAATATGAGTATTATCTGATAGGTTACGTTTTATTTAATTTAGGTGTCATGTTACAATGTGTTTTAATATGTTGGATTAGTTCGAGTTATTTTGTTTGTGGGTTGTTGTAGGTTTTTCCGGGCTATATAGCCATGTTCTGGAGGCAATTTTTCTCCTGACGTTTCGCCTGCATCTATGGCAAGCATCCTCAGAGGTATTTTGTGTGTATTTGTTGTTGTATCGAGGCATTGAATGTTTGCCTTGCTTTTGTTTGTTGGCATCCGCCTTGAGCCTTCTCAAAGAGATAATAGGGCGGAATATAAACAGTCTTATAATAATAATAATAATAATAATAATATATTATAATAATTAATATTATATTATATATATTATATATTATATATAATGTAATAATATAATATATTATTATATCATTATATTATTATTATTATTATTATTATTATTATTATTATTATTATTATTATTATTATTATTATTATTATTATTATTATTATTCCTAACCGAGAGCGAACTCTGAATGCAGCAGAGGCTGTTTTTTTTGTGTTCCTTCCTTCGGGGGCGGGGCTTCTCCTAGTAAGGGGCGTGTGGGCGGGGCTTGTGCCTGGGCGGGATGGGGTGGCGCTGCAGAGCCGAGCCGAGCTCAGAGAGAAAGAAGCGCGGCGGGGCTGAGCTCGGCGGTCCCGCTCCTCCTGCGCCCAGCCCCGGGTGGGGGGCTCCTGCGACGGGAGGCAGAGGCAGAAGCAGGCCGGTGAGTGAGGGAGTGAGGGAGTTCGGGCTCTTTCCCCTGAAGAGTCTCACGCTCTGTTTTGCAGGCATGGGCCAACTTTGTCCCTCCAGGTGTTTTGGACTTCAACTCCCACAATTCCAAACAGCCGGTAGGAATTGTGGGAGTTGAAGTCCAAAACACCTGGAGGGACAAAGTTGGCCCATGCCTGCTCTATTGTGTGACTTTTGGGTTGATGGAGAAAGCCATTAGGAAACCCCCCTTCTCTTCTCCCCCGCCCCCCCCCTTGCAAACCCCCTTGTTTTGGCCCAAGGCCATTACAGGTCTCCAGGTGCATCCAAACCCAAACAACCCACTGATCACAAACTCAGCCTTGCTCAAAGCATCCAAACAGGATGGTTCCCCTCTTTTGGTTTCCTGAATTGCAGCTGAAGCATCTCCTGCAGAGTCAGAAGATGGGATCTCCTCATCCCATTAGGGAATGCTCCCTTTCTGAGGGACCTTCCACATAGCCCTCTATCCCAGGCCCCTTCCATACCCTTCCATACTGGAATATATGGCTGTGTGGACTCAGATAACCCAGTTCAAAACCAATATTCTGGGATTTTCTGCCTTGATATTCTGGGATATATGCCTGTGCAGAAGCCCCCCCCCCCCCCCATGATCTGCTTTGAACTGGAATATATAATAATATAACAACTTTTTTTTCGTGTCAGGAGCGACTTGAGAAACTGCAAGTTGCTTCTGGTGTGAGAGAATTGGCTGTCTGCAAGGACATTGCCAAAGGGACGTCCAGATGTTTTGATGTTTTATCATCCTTGTGGGAGGCTTCTCTCATGTCCCCGTATGAGGAGCTGGAGCTGATAGAGAGCTCATCCGCTTCTCCCCAGATTCGAACCTGCGACCTGTCGGTCTTCAATCCTGCCAGCACAGGGGTTTAACCCATTGCGTCACCAGGGGCTCCACATTAATAATAATAATAATAATAATAATAATAATACATCTTTATTTTTATCCCACCCTATCTACCTCCACGAGAGGACTCTGGGCGGTTTACAACAGATCTCAGCCAACATTCAATGTTGTGAGAAGCCAAAGCGAGACAGAAATAACCAACCCCCAACACTAATCTACATCAAAAATAACACATACTGCAATATTACCAGTAATATTACAAGTACTATAATACAAAATTATTATATCATTATTATATATTATTCTATCATACTATATTATTATGCCACAAAATATATAACACACTACCGGTCCATTATACTGTTAGTATTATATAATATATTGTACCATATCTTCCCTTGTAGTATATACAATATACAATATATTGTATTACAACATTAGTAATATTACGTGGAGCCCCTAGTGGTGCAGCGGGTTAAACCGCTGAGCTGCTGAACTTGCTGACTAAAAGCTTGGCAGTTCGAATCCACGGAGTGGGGTGAGCTTCCGCTGTTCGCTCCAGCTTCTGCCAGCCTAGCAGTTTGAAAACATGCAAATGTGAGAAGATCATTAGGTTCTGCTCCAGCAGGAAGGTAACGGTGCTCCATGCAGTCATATGACCTTGGAGGGGTCTATGGACAATGCTGGCTCTTCGACTTAGAAATGGAGATGAGCACCAACCCCCTGACATAACTGGACTTAATGTCAGGGGAAACCTTTACCTTTACCTACTACATTTTCCTATTGGTATTATATAATATATTGAACCATGTCGTGTAGTATATACAGTATATTATATTACAACATTATTAAAATTACATACAATATACCAGCATTATATGGTATATTGAATATATGTCAGCGTGGACTCGGATAACCCAACTTAAAGCAGAAAATGTGGGATTTTAGTCAGCTGTGTGAAAGGGGCCCCAGATAACCCAGCTCAAAGCAGATCTTGTGGGATTTTTTTGCCTTGATATTTTGGGTTATATGGCTGTGCAGAAGGACCCCAGAATATCAAGACAGAAAATCCCATAATATCGGCTTTGAACGGGGTTATCTGAGTCCACACTGCCATATATTCCATTTCAAAGCAGAAAATGTGGGATTTTATTCAGCTGTGTGGAAGGGCCTGAGACTGGAAGCGAACTGGTCTAGGGGAGGGGGCCAGACTTGGGTGGCTGAGAGGGCTGCAGACTCAGTTCCAGTCCTGAAAACCATGCTCCAATGCACACACGAAAACACATCTTAGAGCACAGTCCTCTGTCTTCCACACCTGGAGTCTGCTTGACTGGTGTAGTAAATGTAAGTACAATAGAACGGAGCTTGGAAAGATGACTTTATTGAATTCTAAGAATTCTAGTATCACCCCTTGCGGTCCAAAGCAGTTTTTCAAAGTACAACTCTAAGGACCCAATCACATTAGGAAATCATGATTTCGGACAGGTCCCGTCACACGATGTATTCCCCATCCCGTCCATATTCCATTGGAATCCGCCTGCAATGCATTTTGCAGGTGGAATTCTAATTGTGTTTTTGGAAAGGCTATGGATCCTTCTGTTGCTGAAGCACTGCTTTTGTGTGTGATAGCAAAATCTGTACGCATGCATCCCATGAGTGATGATAATTTTTAATAGAGTGATGCAGGGGGTGTTTTGAATGGATTGGGAGGAGCCAGCCTTCCGGGGTGAAATGAGTCAAAGCTCAGTGTTTTCCAATAATAAGAACTGGAATAATAATCAGGCGTGATGAGGAAGGAGAGGATGTATCCCGTCTCCATAGAGTAAGCATGCAGTCCTAAAAAAATAGAGGATACATACTGATATGAATGGGTTATATCCCAATGTGATAAGGTCCCCAGTCCCCTGCCAGTGCTGCTGCACCGTAGGGTCAAAGCAATGGCATCCGAGTGCTTTTTCTGTTCACCAAAGGTCTCAGGACCCCCAGGTTGAACTCAAGCCCTTTTCTACACTGCTGTATAATCCAGTTCAAAGCAGGTAATCTGGATTGTATATAGTGTTGTAGAAGGGGACTCATATAATCCAGTTCAAAGCAGATCATGTGGATTATCCCCCAAGAAAGATCTCTAAGGGAGGGGGCTCCCAAACACAGCAGGGCCCCCTTTGCAGTTTTTGAAGGAGAATATAGTCGCAGCCCTGGCATCAAAAGTTCCCTTTGCTGCACCAGAAAGTAAAGAAAGCCTTGTTGTATTCTTGTTCTGTCAGGTCAGAGTCCAAAGTAACTTTGGGGTGATTGTTGCCACCCTGTCCTTCCGGGCTTGCATTGAGAGCGAGGGGCATCATATGCACACATTTCCCAGTGACTTTATCATTTATTTATTTATTTAAAGCATTTCTATTTTGCCCTTCTCACCCCGAAGGGGACTCAGGACGGTGCACAACATATAAACGGCAAACATTCAGTGCGGAAACGTATTATACCATACACATACAGAAGCATTAAAATCACTTATCTTGACATTAAAATCCACTAGCCCGGATACCGGCTTGGACTCTGTGGCTGAGATGTTTGAAATCCATTTCCTAAGCATTGCCCTGCCTTATGAATGTCGTTATTTATTATGCATATTTATATTGGTTTATGCAGTGTATTTGTGCAATGTGTTTTTGTTTACTTGTTTGGGTTGGGGTGGTGGTGTTGTGCTCTTGTATTATGTCATTTCTGTTTTTTAACTATTTGTTTGCCGCTTTGAGTCCCACCAATGAGAGAAAAGCGGGATATGAATAAATAAATATGAACCTTTATTATTTATGTATTTATTTATTTGTCCTGAAGGGGACTCAAGGTGGCGTTACATACAAGCAACAATTTTATGCCTTAAATCACAATATACACTTAAATAAATACTAAAATAGAATTAAAAAGTACATTGAAACGATTAAAACATTTAAAAACAATACATTCAGAGTTAAACATGTAATCCACGAGCGTAATCTGGGCCGTTCCAATGGTCATTGCACATTGTTCCAAGACTTATCTATTTCACAAATTCTCTAAAGGCTTGCTCTCAAAGCCACGTTTTCACACTTTTGCAGAAGGTCAGAAGGGAGGGGCTAATCTAACATCTCTGGGGAGGGAGTTCCACAGCTGAGGGGCCACCACTGAGAAGGCCCTGTCTCTCGTCCCTGCCAGTTGCACCTGCGAGGGAGGTGAGACCGAGAGCAGGGCTTCCCCAGGTGATCTTGCACTCCGCAGTGGTTCATAGAGGGAGATACGTTCGGACAGATAAGCTGGGCCGGAACCGTTTAAGATCTGAGAAGATGGTCACTGAGGGACACTTTTTTGCTCCTGCAAAGGAGACCCAACCCTTAATCAAATTTGAAATAGGGGCTGCTCTTTGCCCACCTTGGCCCTGTTATACTACTGTCCTGGGAGAAAGTTGGCACAGAAACTGGTACTTTGACTGGGTGTCTCTTGAACAGAGGAATGATTTGAAATAAATTTATAATTTCCACAGCCTTAAGAAAGTGCAGAGCATTCTTGGGAATCCATCGCACCCTGGATAACTCTTCTCTGAATTATTGCCATTTGGCAGACAGTACAGGTTGACAAAGTCAAGGACAAACAGATGGAGAGAGAGTGTTTATCCTATAGCTGTGGCTGCTTGAACTCCATGGCTTTGCATTGATGTGGCATTGGGGACTGTTCTGTGGTGGTGGGAGTGTGGGGCGATGGATGTGTTGTTTTGTGGTGTGTGCTGGGGAAGGCATTTAATTTCGTTGTGCAATAGCACAGTGTCAATAAAGCTATTCTATTCTATTTGCCTTCCTCATCCTCCTTGCAAACCAAAAGGACCAGGAAAGCTTTGAGGGTGCCAACTCAGCGCTCTCCTCTTTGTGCAACTGCTCCAGGAATAAATAGGTTGGTGACACTTCCTCTGTGCTGAGGAATGGCTCTCTTGAAGCATTGATCCAATTGCAGGTTTTGGTACTGATGAAAGGAAGAGCCTCCCTCCCAAGGCCCTGAAGTTGGGTCCCCAGCCAAAGCCCAAATATTCATGTGCAAGCTTTAAAAGTACACTGAACTCTTTCCTCATCTTCTGACTATTG